GGATGAATACTATGAATACTAATAAATAGGAGAGAGAACAAACAGAGCTTGCAAAACACAGAGGCAGCCCTCCATGAAGATATGAGCAGGAAAGCGAACAAAAAAAAAAGTAAGTTTCTGTTTTCATATATATCAACTGCATATTCCTGCTTCATGTACACTCAGTGTGCATTGCTGGCATATGTTTTTTTTAAAATACCTCTGCAAAGGTGAAAACGGGCTTTCAGACAGCTTTCAGCTAGAGCCCATCATCTGGTGAAGGGCATACTAGAAGTAATACTGCATGTTTTTGAGAAAGGAATGACAGTCAAGGTAATGATTTCCACACTCAGCATTTTTTGGGAGTTACAAGTTCTTCCCAGCTTTATGATTAAGACATTTTAGTATGTATAGAAATGTATGTACATTGGCAAGAGAAAATGTTAGCGAACAATATGTAATACTCAATAAACAAACTCAGTGCCAGAAAGACATAGCATGATTATGGAAGACACCCAAGCAAAAATTTCTGAAGAGTGCTTGAAGGGGAATAAGAACAAAATGTAATGTATTAAAGAGGAACCCTGCTGAACAGTGTTTACATCATATGGTTGTTATTATTATGTAAGTTATATTATGCCAGTCTGACAAGCGGCGGAGTCATAAAGCATGTACAAAATATAAGGCTGGGTTTACACTGTTGCATCATGAGAACGCACACATCATACAGTGTATGGAAATGCATGTTATGTGCTCAGTGTGCGGAGGTGCCATTCATTCTTAGCTGCACCAGACCTTGCCAACGCACATGCATTGTAGCACACCACAATGCAGTTACACAGTACTGTACATTGTGTTGCAGAAAATAGGCAGACACCTTTTTTCGTGCATTGGGCAGCCCATTAAAATGAATGAGCTGCCTTAAAAGGACACACAGCATAATGCGCATGTATTAGAGCAGTGCTTCTTAAAGTGTGGGTCGCGACCCCATATGGGTTCCCGCAAGTGAACAGGGGGGTCACGATCCGAGTCCCCGGCCAGGACCGCCATCGGGTGGGTATGCCTTTACTTGTGTGAGGGGCCCAGGCGGCCAAGGAGGCCTGGGCTCCAAGCTAGATTGTTTTATTTCAGTTTAATGTATAATTTGCAGTGTAGTGTAGTTTTTAAGGTCGCAGCTCCCCCTGTGCACTTGATACCTTCCTGAGCACGTCGAGCACAGCTGATGGACGTAAAGGTAAGGAGGGGGAGGGGGCTTAGTAGTACTGACTGACCGACAGAGAGAGACGCTGACAGATGCTGGGGTGAGAGAGAGACACCGACTTACGCTAGAGGAGGGAGGAGACACCGACGTTGTGGTCCCTTCAAAATTTCCTCAGGCCAAAAAGGGGTCACGAGTGGAGAAAGTTTAAGAAGGCCTGCATTAGAGCATCGCAACAGTGTGAAGCCAGCCTTGAAACCCAACTTCAGACAAAAGTTTGGTTTAGGTTTTAAATGAGTGGGAAAGAATCAGAATCTCGGTCAAAGATTTATTGCCATCTGTTTCCTCATTGGAGAGATTTTCTTCTCACTTCCGGTCTCTGTGACTGCTGGACAAGGAAAGTGCAGGGCCAAGGACCAACTTCCTAGATGAAATCAAGATTTGCGTAATAGGGGGACCAGGATTTGGACTGCTAGGTCAAAGCTGAACCTTCAGATATTTGCTTTGGATGAAAGTGGCCATTTAGGATGTGATACACTTTTAAAGATCCAACAACTGTGTATTATAAACTTTAGAAACATTTATACTATACAGGAGATCCTCTATAGTAATTGTATTATACATTTTAGAGTCTGGAAAATTGTTGCAAAATGAACATGGAACTCCAGTGACAATTTTTTCAGTTCTAGTTGCGGATAGAGGTTTGTGGGCACCTGAATTGCTTAGCACTGCATCCAGGAATTTTCTGACGCGTCCGGGAAACTTATGAACCTCACAGATGATTTTTTCCAATCCATACAGTGTATGAGGGGATCGCAGCAAGTCCCAGCACCGTAATTCTTAGTGAAGTTTCTGCATATGCTGGGCCACCATTACAGATGTGACACGCTTGTAAAGCTATGCCAATGTGCAAGCAAGGAGCTATGACATATCTGAACAAGTGTTTCCTTAGACGGTTGATGAATGAATAAATTGCAGTAGGGATCAACAGGTTTCCCTAATGTAGACGAGTTTCCTTGTACAACAATCTATCCCCTGATGGTTTTTCCTTTCTCTTGCCCCTCCCTCTCATCATCGTCTCTAGAACTGGCTGTGTCACTCTCTCCTTAATCGCAGCCAACAAAAACTTCACACAGACATCCAGCCACGTCCTGCTCATTGCCATCACCCTTTCCTTGCCAGCCACTCCACTCCTCCCTGCATCCATTAACCCCATCCCTTCCTCACCATGTGTTGGATGCTTGGCCCCGGAGCAGTTCTTCTCCTCTGGAAGAAAAGACACAGGTGAGTTAATACAACTGCGCATAGGAGTGTGAAGGTAACTGTTCAGTAAAACCACGTCAAACAAACGCAAAAAATAAATAAAGATTTAGTTCATATAGATAAGTTCATCCAATATACTGCACTAGATTTATATTTACCCATATACAATTAAATGCCATCTTTATTATTATTATACAGGATTTATATAGCGCCAACAGTTCACGCAGCGCTTTACAAAATGGAGAGAGACAGTACAGTTACAATACAATTTTACTAGAGAAAGGTGGGGAGGGCCCTGCTCGTGACCACTTACTATCTAGGAAGGGCACATGATAGAAAAGTTAATAATTGCATGGGATGAGTTAATGAAAGAAGTAAAAAGGACAGTTATTATGCTGAGGTGGGATAGGCTTTTTCTAAAGAGTTTTCAAGGATCGCCTGTGGGTGGACAGAGTCAGAGATAAGCTGACAGATTGGGGTAGGGAGTTCCAGGGGATGGGAAACACTCTGGAGAAGTCCTGGAGGCAAGCATGGGAGGATGTAACAATAGAACTTGAGAGCAGGAGGTCTTGAGGGGAGCTAAGGGGGTGGTTTGGGTGGTATTTTGAGATAAGGTTGGAGATGTAGTCGGGGGCAGAGTTGTGGATGGCTTTGTATGTAGTAGTTAGTATTTTGAATTGTATTTGTTGGGCAATTGGGAGCCAGTGGAGGGATTGGCAGAGAGCGGTGGTAGACAGTGAGCAGTTGGTAAGGTGGATACGTCTGGCAGCAGCATTCATGATCAATTGGAGGGGGGATAGCCTGTTTTGTGGTAGGCCAACAAGGAGGGAGTTACAGAAGTCAAGATGAGATATCACAAGGGAGTGAATTAGAAGGTTTGCAGTGTCGTTTATTAAAAAGAGGCAAATTTTGCAAAAGTTACGTAGGTCAAGTCGGCAAGATTTAGATAGTGATTGGATGTGGGGCTGAAAGAGGAGCTCAGAACCAAGGATTACACTGAGCACCATGGCTTGAGGGGAGCGGCTGATTGTAGTGCTCAGTTTTGGACAGGTGGAGTTTGAGTAAGTGGAGTGACATCCATGTTGATTCATCAGGGAGTAGATTAGTGATGGGTGAGGAGACAGACATTGTATTAAAAGGAGAACTATGAGGTGAGTGCTTTTCACTCACCTCATAGTTCTAGCCGACCTGTGACAATGAGACTGTCACAGGTCGGCTCAGTAGATCGGGAGGTGAGCGAACACATACCGGCGTTCGCTCACCTCTCGATCCTGTCATGGCTCTCTGCCGTGACAGGGGGAGGCTGGATTCCCCCCTCCCCGCTCCGATCCGCCAGCGCTGACTGGTGGAACGGACGGTGGAGGGGGCAGGTACAGCTGGCTCTGCCTCTAGATAGGCAGAGCCAGCTGTCACTCACGCAGCTGGGCAGATCCAGACATAATTGTTGGGATCCACTCCAGCTGCGGCGTCTTAGTATGCCGCGAGCAGCAGCTCGCGGTATACTGCGGCGTCTCGGTATACTGCGGCGTCTCAGTATAGCTCGCAGTATACTGAGCCTAGGGTGATGGGAGGACGCTAGTTTGTGTCCTCCCGTTACCCTAAGAAGAACTATGGGGAAAAACCTTAACCCCATAGTTCTCCTTTAAAATAGCTTCCCCATAGCAGCTACTAACATTTCAAAATAGGAAGTGTAGCATTGAAAAGAAGGGATAGCGTGTGCGTGTCTCTGCAGCAATGGTAAGGTACTATTATATGTTCTAGTGTTGGATAAGCAGGTATTTACACACGAGTGTCTTTTCATCTTAACCATCAACCAGGGATCTCAGCATGTGCATAGATAAAAGGACATGGAATTTGGCACCTGATGCTGAGTTCCGTTAAGTTTTTTAAGTTTGGCTTCAAAGTTCCTATTCCCGTAAATGCTGGCTGTTTTCTTAAGGCCAATACAAACAATCATCATTTCTCAATAAACAGGGATAAATCTATTCACAAACGATATTTTCTCAGCTCAGAGATCAGTAGAAAAAAAACACTTATAAAATAAGTGTTAAATAACCTATTTAACCGTGCTCAGGTGTATTATTATAATATAAGTGGTATACTGCAATGCCTACAGGTAAAAATCGTCAGACACAATAAATATCTATGCACTGTGTAATACCTAATCACTAATTCTTTATAGGTGTTTAACATAAAACCATCATCATGTGCATCATAATCTTAACACATCATTGTGCAAATAATCCAATCATGTGCATCTCATTATCACAATATAACAAATAATTGTGTAATTCAATGCAAAAATATATATTCAGAAAATAAAATAAAGCAAGAAAAGTCCAAATACTGTGATTTTCTTTCTATAATTTCCAATTATTATAGAAATTGGCAGTGAGCATCCCCTGGAAGAAGTCTCTGTGATGAAACGTGTCAGAAGGGCGGGGCATACACACGCTTCCTGATACTAGAACGCTGATGTTTGTAAGATTGGAGGAGTTTCTTGTGATCATTGGATTTTGTTTGTAAGTATTTTTAACCGTCTAATAAAGCGGTGCAGTGAAATATTACACTATGAGAAGCTTTTATGTTTCTGTTTCAGCTTGGTTTACAAGTATTTGATTTAAGAAGTGAGGAGGAAGTAGAGGCTAAGAAGAATCTGGTCTAACTGAAACAAAACTGGAAAAAAAAAGGGATAACAGCGGAGATTTAAATTGTTATGGCTTATCCTATTTTAGGGTAGCCCTATAGGTCCGGTGAGTGCGGTTTTATAGGTTTTGGAGCACTGAGGTGTGAAGAGATAGTGTACATATATATTACACATACACTAAATGAAAAAGTGAAAGCTTGGGCACTATTGGATGTGGATGGTGATTCATGGACACTTACTTCACAGTGATGCATGTTCCTTTCTTCACGTTTTGAGCGCAATTTCTATAATAAATTTGAAACGATAGAAAGAAAAATCACAGTATTTGGACTTTTGTGCTTTATCTATTAGAATATTTGCTAAATATATATTTTTGCACTTTAATACACAATTATTTGTTATATTGTGATAATGAGATGCACATGATTGGATTGTTTGCACAATGATGTGATAAGATTATGATGTACATTATGGTTTTATGTTAAACACCTATAAAGAATTAGGTATAGCACAGTGTATAGATAATTATAAAATAAGTGTGATGTTCTCAGGACTGAATTCCAATAATGCTCGACTACTCAGGAACACTTATTGACTGACTAGCAGTTACTATTGAAAAATAAATTACCGCAGATGGAAAAGGTAAGGCTAACTTTTTACCTAGTAGCTCACCTGAAGAAGAAGCATGGATATATTTAGCTTTTTGGCAGCCTGTGGATTTAAAAGCCACCACTTCTCCGCTCCCCAGACGCTGCAAGTATTTGATTGGTCATATGGGTTGAATATTTGCTTCCCCCGCTGGCTTCCGTGGTTCCTCCGACTAGCACATATGTCCTGTAGTGTTGTATGCACTGGCAGAAGGAACCACAGCTGCACCGGTGGAGCACATATCCTATATACTCAGAAAGGTAGAATGTATGCAACGGCTGGAGAGCGGAAAGGTAAGTATATCCACACTTCCTTTACAGGGTATTTAGTGAGTAAAAGTGACCTCTGTGATGGGTGACAGGGCAACTTTGAGGTGAGGAAAAGAGTGGCACTATAGCTAACTGCCAATGAAAGTGAGCTGGCATCAGACACTAACCAGAAGGGCAACTCGAATTTTAGTGGATGAGCACCCCTACCAGGTAAGGTATATTATGACATGCTATGTGTGGGATATATAGGAATTACATTTAAAAGACATTACAATTAAAGGATAATTATTACGAGAGTAAAATATACTATTCAAATACTTAGAGCCAGGCTGGGACACTGCAGCTAACACGTCGTCTCTATATACCAAGAGCCAAAGGATCACTGATGGCTCACCACCTCACGGTCTCCTCCCTGCAGGGATTCCCCCTCCCTCCTCATCTTTCAGTGCTTACTGGATGACAGACAGAGGAGGGGTGGGCACAGCTGGATCTAGCTCTAGAGAGGTAAAGTTAGATATCAATCAGGCAACTGGGAGAATCCCAACAATATTGTCAGCATCCTTCCCAGCTGCTGTGTGGCTCTGTGCTGTCAGCCGATAGCAAGCATTAGCCCGCTAGTACTCCTGTGACATAAAAGAGAAGTAAAGCCAGAAAATATTCTTTTAAATGCCCTCCTTCCCCCTCCAAGCCGATGCTGTGCCATCTTACTAATAACCAGCTGGGTGCAGCTTAAGAAAAGCAAGTTTCCCCAAGCTAAATACAAAGATTCATATGATCCTGTGGCGAAAAAGGAAAGAGTTGTATGTAAAGACTACATGTGTTGACATACTTACCATGTCAGGTGGGGGAGGAGTGGAGCAACATGGAGGAACCTGCAAGATACATTAAAAAAATAAAGAGACTTTAAAAGGGATTAGAGAAGTGGGTTCAAGTTCTGTTAACTATGAAGAGCCAATATCGTCACAACCATGCCATTCTGTGAAATACACACATAGCAATTACATATTATTTAGGTATTTATGCAGAAAACGGAAACATGATATTTGTTCTTTAACCAGAAATGAAAGACACACCTAGTTTTACTACTGGAAATGTCTTAAAACAGTGGCAGGTTTCCTGCACCACTAATCATTTAAATCTACAAGTAAAGGGAGTTATGTTTCTAGGAAAATAATCATTGTGGGGTAAAACGGTTTTCAGTGCCACACAGGAGTCCTGTAAACAAGGCACAAGGGAGCTTTATCCACATATGAAGCCTTTCTAATAGTAGGTGTTCACCTTCACAGGTCGTTGGTCTATATATAGCCCAGAACCCTCCACCCATGAAATGGACAGAGGGCCTATTCATAATAATCCTGTGCAATCATGACTGACGTCCAAGGAGTAAGAAGACTTCATAGTTCTGAGCACACATAGTACAGGGATGCTTCAACGGGCTATGTGTGTAATGAGACCTGAATCATTAGTTAGATTTTAAATCTTTCACCCAATATGTTGTAATTGAGATACCTCTAAAGATGTCGGCTAACACAGGCAGCATGATAAATTGGGGAACTTGGGATGCATGTAGTCCTCTTATTTCTTCCATGTGGACCTAAGTCAATTATTAGATGTCAAATTGTATGTAAAGCCAAACATCTATTTTTAGTTTTGGATATTGTGGAGAAAGGTAAGAACCACTGTCAAGTTTTTCTTTCTGCTGGGGGATTTACCTCATCTATTAGTTTTGGCGACCATTGTCACTGGGGTAATGAGCGAGGGTCAATAAAGCAGGGCTTAATCGCTGTGTGTTGGGTAGGCATTAGCCATAATGTGTAAGTATAATTATGGCGCACTCAACCCCTAAAGTGCCGTTCTCCAGCGTTGTGATGTCTGCGATCCCGGTCATTGGTTTGATGCTGCTGCTGCTGCAATCTTCTGCTGGTCTTCCTCCAGTCCAGTGTCTTCCTTGTCTGCCATTAAGCAACCACTGATGATGTAACTCCTAAACATGCGCACAGGAGTTACCTTGTCACCAGAACTCAGCATTTCTGGTATTTTACAGATACTGCGACCAGTGTACACTGTATAGAAAAACAGCTAGAACCAAGAAGCCAAGAATAAGATTCTCACAGATAAGAAAAAATTACAGGTGTTTTAACTAGGGATGCTCCGATACCACTTTAAGACCGAGTACCGATACTTTTTTTTCAAGTACTCAGCGATACCAATTACCGATACTTTTTCTTAAAGAAACAGGTCACATTTTTTCTAAAGCAATACAAAATCATGATTTTAGGTCAGTTTCTTAATATTATGAAGAACATGAACATGAAATTAATATTTATTCTTTTAAGAAAAATATAATGCAGTTAAAAGGAGAACTAAGGGTAACGGGAGGATACAAACTAGCGTCCTCCCATCACCCAAAGCTCAGTATCCTCCCATCACCCAAAGCTCAGTATACCAGCCCCTCCCCTGTCACGGCTCTCTGCCGACACAGGATCGAGAGGTGAGCGAACGCCGGTATCTGTTCGCTCACTTCCCGATCTACTGAGCCGACCTGTGACAGTCTCATTGTCACAGGTCGATGCCAGTCAGCGGGAGAAGAGGTCAGAATGGAGCAGTTGACTGAGGACTTGGAGGAGGAGTTCGCGGCCATCTTGTTTAATTGAAGATGCTACGGCGGTTTCGGGTCCTTGAAGATGGCGGACGTGGCACAGGTACTCGTTTTTTGTAACGGAGTATTTGCACGAGTACGAGTACTCATGCAAATACTCGGTATCGCCGCCGATACCGATGCTTGTATCGGTATCGGAGCATCCCTAGTTCTAACCATTGCCTACTCTATCTGAACTGGCACATTTTCCAAATGCTACAAAGTAGATCTGATATGACTCTGCTTCATAGGGCTGTCAACAAAAAAAGAAGCTCATCCTACCCAAAAATCTAGCAAGTACTTAAGTCTTAATCTATAGGTGTATGGCCAGCTTAAGACTTTATCTGCAGATTTTCTATGGTCAGATGGAAAAAGTGCAACAGATTCCTCCATCTACGCTAAACTGTGTGGGTGTAAGAATCTCCCACTGGGCCAAGCTTCAGTATCTTGCTAGTGGGTCCCGCTGGCTCTTGAAATACCTGAACGGTACCTGCATCCATTCAGATTGTTCAGGTATTTTGACAGCCAGCAGGGCAGACTAGCCAGATACTGAAGCTTGTCCCAGTGAGAGATTCCTCCATCCACACAGTTTAGCGTAGATGGCAGAATCTGTTGCACTTTTTCCATCTGACCACAGAAAATCTACAGATAATCTACTGTACAGGTGTATGGCCAGCTTTATACTGATGGTTAGCCAAAGTGCCGAAGGCAAAGTAGAGAACATACACAGAGAAGGACATAGATGTTGGTCTCACCTTTACTTCACATTTTTTATGACTTATAATCTTGCATACTGGAAGACAAAAGAGATATGCATAATATTAGATAGAGGTCATGGAACATTTCAAATACATTGCCTATCACAAACACACAACTCAGCTTGACAAACCACCTCTCCAACTACAACCTTGTAATTATGCTTTGCCTTTAATGTCAGTCTTGGAGAGCTTTAGTAATCAGACGTAAACTGCCATGGGTGGGTGACTGCAGAAATGTCTGTGATGTAACGCGGAAAATTCAAAAGCAACTACGTATCTCTGACATGAGCTGGAGATTTCCCATTCTGAAAAAAACCACTGCAATTCATCCACTTTTCACAGAATAATATCTTGCAAACCACACATGGAATGACCAAAGATTGTCCAATAAGACTTTAATCAGAGGCTATGGAGTACTCATTTTGTTTTTACAATTTCACCACAGCTGGAGGGCTGGAGTTTGCCTACCCCTGGCTTAGACCTATGCACAGGGGCGTCTTGAGGCCGAGTTTCTTCTGGAGCGGGTGACACCCTGCCATGACGTCCTCGAGCATGCACGGCCATCTTGGTGATGGACGCCGGCAGAGAGAGGATGGGACGTTCACCCGGCGTCCCCTCCTCTCTCCTGCAACTGTCGGGCTCTCGGTCCATGAACGAGTGCCTGACATTTCCAATGGTGTCACGCACCCCCTTATGACGCCACTGCCTATGCAACTACTAACATTTAGAAAGCTGTTATGTATGTAGGGTCTAAGGAAGACTACTTCAGTAGAACACGTAGAAGGCAGACAGCACTATGAAGGTAGAAGAAGCACCATGTGCTAGCTGCTGTGCAGTTTCTGAATTACATTTTCTCAAATGGAAATAGGATTTGTTTACTTTGGACCAGTATGAAAAACTAAAATCACAATAAATTTACATTTGTCATCACTTAGAAAAGGGAAGTTACTCAACAGGCTACAAATAATCTCAAATTTTTCAAAGCCTAGTATTAAGCCACCCTCAGCTAGGCGTCCCAGCTAAATGTAGTTTAATGAGGACTCTAAAAAGCTCTTCTTTTATGGTTTACAGGAAAAGCCAGCTACGACTTTACTGTGACTCACAACTCTATGTGACATTGGGACATTCACTGTAATGTGAACTCCCCAGTCACATTACTGACCACTGAGGTTTTGTATTCTCAGACAACTTAATTATGTGGTCTAAATAGTGAGCCAGAAAAACTACAAGTTCTTTCTACCGTATGACCTGCATACGCTGCAGAAACAGATAAATTCACACGTCCCCGAGTGATATCAGAGATCTTCCTTGGTAATTTGTTCTAGACAACAGATTATTTTATTCATAAACATAATGCCTCGGGCCCATAGGGACATTAGTGATAGTCTACGTATATTTATAGGCATGCCAACAGACAAGATTTTGTTTAATCTTTCTGCTTATACAGTAGATGCATACTGGGGATGTTGTGAAAAAGCTGCAAAGCAAAGAGATTAGATTGGTTCCTAACAGTCAATCACTTCCTTTCATTTCAATTCAAAATGGATGTCATTCTATCTCTATTGTAAATCTATGTGCCTATCTACCTGAAGGCATGGTTCAAACTGAGTGTTTTTTCTGCCCTAAAAACCGCTCAATAAATCTGCCCAAAACAAAATACTATTCATTTCTATGGCCATGTTCACATTTGAGCGCAATAAGTAAAACGCCTATCGCTGTAAAAAGTACATAAGCTTTTTTGGGCAGATTACAGCTCGTTTTGGTCCCATAGACTCAATAGGAAACACTTGAAAAAACGCGTGTTTGTGCATGTTTGCTCATTAACATCAATAAGCTACAATCCGTTTACAAAAACGCGTGAACTGATTTATGCACAAAAAAACCCATGCAGATCCCACTCAAAAACGTGCATCAAAAACGCGCGTAGAAACGTGCAAAAACGCTGTCACCTAGGTGTGAGCCCAGGCTTACAAAAGGATAAAGCTGACATAGCTGAGACAGATGGCTACTTTGTAGGAGTTGTGAACAAAAGAGGAAATTGCAAAAAAAAATTGCAAATATTTATTTTAGGTTTAATTTCAGCTCACCTGTGGTTGCAAATATGGCATCCATGCAACCTCACCCAAAAACCCCATTGAAAAATAATATATTTCTGTGGTAAAGGCAGATGTGCTTGAAACAACGGGGGTAGGGGGGCTAGCTGTGGTGCAATTTCTCCTTAATCACATATGTGTCAAAAATGAAGTTAGTTAAATGTTTGGAAAACAGAAAATATAATGCAAGTATTAAAATTGACAAACACTAAAGCCTTCTGCCACTGGGGTATTCCACCAAACAACCACCTTCCAGAGAGCCACCAAGGTATTCCACCAAACAACCACCTTCCAGAGAGCCACCAGGGTATTCCAAACAGCCACCTTCCAGACAGCCACCAAGGTATTCCACCAAACAAGCACCTTCCAGACAGCCACCGGGGTATTCCACCAAACAACCACCTACCAGACAGCCACCAAGGTATTCCACCAAACAAGCACCTTCCAGACAGCCACCGGGGTATTCCACCAAACAACCACCTACCAGAGAGCCACCAGGGTATTTCACCAAACACGCACCTTCCAGACAAGCCACCAGGGTATTCCACCAAACAACCACCTTCCAGAGAGCCTCCAGGGTATTCCACCAAACAGCCACCTTCCAGAGAGCCACCAGGGTATTCTACCAACCACCATCCAGAGAGCCACCAGGGTATTCCACCAAACAACCACCTTCCATACAGCCACCAGGGTATTCCACCAATCAGCCACCTTCCAGAGAGCCACCAGGGTATTCTACCAACCACCATCCAGAGAGCCACCAGGGTATTCAACCAAACAACCACCTTCCATACAGCCACCAGGGTATTCCACAAAACCACCTTCCAGAGAGCCACCAATCCTACACCCTTGGTTGAAATCCAACACATAAAACAGCAAAGAAAATGGTTCCACATGACACCCCCTGAAACTGAGGAGTGCTTATTGTGAATTAAGGGCCTCCATAGCGTCATAGTAGCTAGAAAAGACTTGGCGCATGGACAAACCAGCCAATAGAAGGACACCTGTCCTGTAAATTCCAACTGACTTTTAGAGGGAAAAAAAAGAAAGAATAACACATTGAACTAAACAAACTAAAGTATACACACCCCACATTTGTTTTTAGTTTTTTTACTCCCAGAGAAAGGGTTGCTGTTCATCGAAAAATGTATTGGCTTTATATAATGTGGTGCTACAGTACTTGTGGTGTAAATTGACCACCAGTACTTAATTTTGTCTCAGAAGGGTTAAATGAGACTCCCATTAAAAAAATGATGTAAAGCCCCAGAGACTGGGATTAAGAATTGTACTCATTTGCTGTACAAAGAGTCCCAAACAATACAGATAAATAAAAACAGGTGGTGCAATATAGGATTTTCCCTTTTCACAGATTGAATCCTTGCACATGTACGTCTACATGTATTCCGACCTCAAGTGACCACCTTGTATGCCAGACATTTTTGTGCAGCGTATATCTTGGCTGGAAAACGATCCAATGTGAATGCATACACACATAAAATGTGCTGAAAACATGTTGAAGCAGAAACAAAATGATGTGTACAATAAATACATGCGTTTTGTATTACAACAACTATCACAAGGACTAATTACCAGAATTTAAAGAATTGACCATGAGTGATGGTTCCAGGGATAGTGCTTAATTCTTAACCGCATATGATTGCATGCGTATTGCATATGATTACATGCGGTGTGCTGGCTTTCCGTCAGTTTCGAATGCCGCCACTGTCACCTGATCATTAACCTAAATGCGCTTATTGCTGCCGCCTGTAAACAGCAGATTTGGGATTCCTGCTGATGGAAATTGCACGTTCCTGACACAGGAATCCCTAAATACACCTACATTGTAGGTGTGAATGATTACTTATCTGGTAATTGAAGGAACTCTGTCGTACCTTGTGTCTCTTAAAGGAGTTAAGACAATGTCCTGTTTAATACCCCTCTATGCAACAGCGCAAAGGACTTCCTTCCAGAGCTTCACATTTTAGATTTAGGTTACAAATAAAGCCTCATGTTATAGTGTGACCAAGAATGGTGTGACTAAGCTGAGCAATAAGGAAATCAATTTCACATGCATCAGTTACACATGCAATTTTAAACTGCTTAGTAGCAACAGGGTAACCTAATGTTGACAACTACTTTGCCCTGTCCCTCTCCCAATGCTGCCAATTTCCTCACCACTCATGCCACCAATTGTATATAATTTCTTTATATAAATTCTGTGTATAACAGAAGGATATGCAGCTGATGCTGTGAAAAACAGAGCTTCTAAACCCTGTTCAGAAGCGCTATTCAAAGCTACCATGTAACATTATTGTGTGTGGGTGACCGCTACATATGAAGTCAGCCAGTTTTTCATAAATAACATTTGTTACTATTTAAACCATTATTAATACTTTGTTAACTCTAACTAACACTAAATAACTCCTTCTCCCCTTAACTATGTTGTTGCTGCAATATTTTTACTATTTAAATTTTTCTACCAGTTACATTTTTCTCTTCAATTTCATTTATTTTGTTTGTTTATTTATTTAAAAAACACCTTTATTTAATTTGCAAATAACTTTGCAATGCTTTGTACAAGAATCGTAATTTTAATGTCATTATAAGCAGGACAAATATAGAATAAATATACTTTGTATCTACAGGGACACGAGTTGTTTTTAAAACTAACATTGATCGAAGAAAAAAAAAAAATGAACGCACTTTTATCTAAAGATTGCATAAGAAATTATATGTTTTTTTACATGACACTATCACCAAAAGCAAGCCATGCAAGTGCTGAAAAACAATATATGCATTAATTTGTATCCTTAAGAAATGAAAGAGTTATTGTCGAAACAATTAGCCCACAGGAGAAATGTATAAATTGCTCTGGTCCATAGGGATTTATGGAATAAGAGCTGATGAACTTGTTAAATAAAGACCAATGGCAACCAGTCATTGGCTTGCTTTCATTTGATCACTTCCACTGAAAGGAGAGAGAAATCTCCTACAATATGATTGGTTGTTGGGGCAACATCTCCATTGATTCAGCTGTACTGATGAGTGCGACATATACTGCAAGTCTATCGGCGGTCAACTCTGAGACCTTTGAGCGATATAAAAGCATGCTCTCCCTGTGCTTGCATGGGTTTCCTCCGGGTACTCCGGTTTCGTCCCACACTCCAAAGACATGCTGGAAGGTTAATTGGCTCCTCTCTAAATCGGCCCTCATATGTATGAATGTGAGATAGGGACCTTAGATTGTAAGCTCCTTGAGGGCAGGGACTGAAGTGAATGTGCACTATGTAAAGTGCTGCGTAAATTGTCATAAATACCAATAATAAATAAAAAAACGCAGAGTACTTATCAGCCATTACCTCTACAGACGCTGCCCTGTGACACGACAGGCTCACTGCAGGCGGCACACAACCTTTTCTTTCTCAGACTTTTCTCTTGAAAGATGTGACGCTCACCCCCTGGAGGCTGTAAAGGAAACAAAACGGAGATTAAAAAAGACCACAGACCGAGAGTCTAAAGGAGTCAGCATAGAATAAAGTTACAGCTTGTATGGAGTCTACATACCAAATCACCACTAAAATTGTGGACTCACAAAATATGCAGCACATGCCCACAACAAAAGAACAACAATTCAGTGCCAAACACAGGAAGAGACAAGCAGGGCTCAAAGCAACATTCTTATATTTACTTAATATACCCTTTCCATTGTTTATTAGGTTATGTAATACATAAATATATATATATATAAGGGAAAATACACTAAACCATTTTGGGTATAAAGTAATTATGCAATATAAACTGAAATACATACTGAGACTTCATCCAAATCTGCCTGGGTGGGTATTGTGAATGAGAGAGCCTTAATGCAGGTGACAATATTCGTATGGATTTATAAATTAAGGCATAGTCAGGCTGGGCATCAAAATAGAGAAAAGTAAAAAGGACCATTAAAAAACCAAAAACTGCCTGGCCCAAAAAAAAAAAAAAGTCACTCCAATATTATGATGGATCGCCTTTAGCTTTGATTATTGCACACATTCACTGTGACATCGTTTTGATAAGCTTATGTAATGTCACAACATTTATTTCCATCCAGAGTTGCATTCATTTTTCACCAGGATATTGTAATGATGATGGGAGAGTGAGACCAGTGGGTAAAGTCTTCTCCAGCACATCCCAAAGATTCTCAATGGGGTTAGGGTCTGGACTCTGTGATGGCCCATCCATGTGTGAAAATGATGTCTCATGCTCCCTGAACTGCTATTTCACAATTTGAGCCCGATGAATCCTGGCTTTGTCATCTTGGGACATGCCCGTGCCATTAAATGGAAAAACCTGGTCATTCAGTATATTTAGGAAGGCAGCAGACCTCATTTGTTGCCAGATGAAATATATTAAAAGGAGAACTATGAGGTGAGTGCTTCTCACTCACCTCATAGTTCTAGCCGACCTGTGACAATGAGACTGTCACAGGTCGGCTCAGTAGATCGGGAGGCTGGATTCCCCCCTCCGATCCGCCAGCGCTGACAGGCGGAACGGACAGGGGAGGGGGATAGATAGGCAGAGCCAGCTGTCACTCACGCAGCTGGGCGGATCTCGACATCGATGTCGGGATCCGCGCCGGCTGCGGCGTCTCAGAGCTTGAGGTATACTGAGCTTAGGGTAACGGGAGGACGCTAGTTTGTGTCCTCCCGTTACCCTAAGGAGAACTAAGGGGAAAAGCCCAAACCCCATAGTTCTCCTTTAAGCACTGCAGTAATTATGCAATGAAAGGCTCTTATCTATTTGCTTTAATGCAAAATCAACACAAAAAAAAAATATTATAAAAATATAAAATACCATTAAACACAAAAATTCCTTCCCATTGTGAAATAAAACTAATGGCAATGTAGTCAAACAACCACAACCTTGCTCTACCACACATTAATCTCCACACTAACTGTACTCTCATGTAAACAGGTGTGAATTAAGGTGGCCATACACTCTACAACCATCGCAAGACTTTAGTCTTGCGATGGTTGTAAAGGGATTAAAAAAACATACGATCTGCCTATCTTGGACAGGCAGATCGCACTCTCGATCATCGCAAGCCCGCCCTCCTGAGGGGTGGGCTTCCGATGACCGCAATGCTGAACGGGCAGTGTGCGCGTGCGCACACCGGCCCGTTCAGCATTTATCTTCCGAGCACCGTTCTAACCAGCCGAGAATCGTACGATTCCCGGCTGGTTTTCGAACATGCTGGTTCGACAGAAGACGTGCGCCCGTACAGGAGAAACGGTCGCACGTCTCCGTTCACACTGCTCGATTATCGTACGAAAACCCGATCGCATACGATTATCGTACGATAATCGTGCAGTGTATGGGCACCTTTACTGAGTGCAAATGTTGACAGTTCATCACAAATGGAGCATTAGTGGAAACTATATTGCATTGTTTTGCACTGCATATGGTCAGGCTGAATTCCAATTCGTTCTTCTGCTACGTTTCAAAGGCTGCTAGCTTCTTAAATCAATATTAAACCTAGTTCTCAAAATAGATGTCTTACTATTTCCTTCCCCTTATTATTGAACATAATTTCATTTTTTCATAATAGGATACCTTCGGATCTTCCTTCCTGTCCTGTGGCTTCCCAAGTAATCTATGCAGAGTTCACGTATTGGTAGCTTCTCTGTTGCAATATTCCCCTCCCTTTCCATCCGCATCCCATCATTCCCACCAGTATTTTCCCTCACTACACTGAATCTATAGTTTCAACAAATTTCAGACTTTCTATTGGTATTTTGCCATATTTATTCATAATCCGTCGGGGTAAACAAGCACCTGAATTCATTTTTCATACTTAAATCGGACCTTTACCCATATCTTTAAAATAAGAAAACACACCTTTAGAAATGTTTAGTAATGACAATCTACATACACATACTTCTAGATAATTGCAGGCTTTGTATTCTTTGCATACCTTATTTCTCTTTTCTTTCCCAGTCTTCTGACAGTGGCCATGTTTACTAAGGGCACATTACTAGATCTATTACTTCCTGGATTTCTGGCACATGTGACCATGCACATCATCTCAGGGGAGGAAAATACCTTTCCCTGAGATCTCGTGAGATTACAGATGAGATTTCCCAGCAATACTCTGCTGATGACAAGGCAATCCCAGTGTGCATTGCTTTGGCAAGCTGAAGTCATATTGCACTTTAAAAGCAGGAAGTGAATGCTCTGCAAGTATTTCAAAATCCCAGCATTTTACACCCGACATGTCTATGTTATTATTAATCATCATACATAGAAGGATGCATTGGTAGAATCTGATTTTTGAGTGTAAAGGTCCGCTTTAATATACAATTTTGGTGTTCGTAACAGATCCTAATTTAAGCCTTGTGACAAGCATTATAGAATCTCTACACCTGCTCTGTGTGCATAATGCAATATGTGATAAACATTTAACAAAAATCCATACTGAGAGAAATACGAAGGCTGTTATTGCTGACCTTAATCTGAAAATGCTAGTTAGAAGGATCCAACTATTATTAATACTTTCTGAGTTACTGACCTGGAGCAAGCATACAGCAAGTAAAGTCAGAGTGAAATCCGCTCTCCTAATCTCCATTCTTGATCAGGGTCAGTAAAATTACTGGATGACCAATATAGCCAGTCAACTAGCATTTTATGAACAAATTAGCAATGGCAGCCAACATATTTCCTCAGTACAGGTTTCCTTTAAAGGAGTGGAACACTGTGTTCTGGCAGGAGCATACTGACAATGAACTAAATAAACTTTTTGAAGCATCTACAATCTCCCAGCATCCAGCGCAGACTGTTGAATAGCTCTGAAAGATCCTATTATAGAGAATATGATGAAATTTGTCCTGGTTAAATAAAACTGCATATGCAATACTAACAGGATATGCATGTGATGTGAGCATGGCACAGGTGCAGCAAGTTCCCAATGTTGTAACAGATAAACAACACATTTCTTAAATTTGTTACATTAACGCTGCAATTGCAGAACAATTAGCATTGCAAAAGCAACACCATCTATTTGGAATGCTGTAGAACAGGGGTGCCCACAATTTTTTGTGTTAAGATCTACTTTTCAAATGACGAGCTACATAAGATCTACCAATGAAAAAAAAAACACCCTCACTCTCTCTCTCTGTCCTGGCTGTCATTCCTTGTTTACTCTCCTGGCTGTCTCTCTTCGCTCTCTTGGCTGTCTCTCCTTGCTCTCTCCCCTGGATGTCTTTAATCTCTCTCCTGGCTCACCTTGCTGTATTTTGCAAACAGTGTAGTGCAACAGGCTGTGTAAACTAATATTCTTTGATGTAATACATAGCACTTCAACCACCAGTATCCACCAGAAAGGTGTCAAGGAGCTTGGCTCAGCAGACTCAGGCTATTAGGTAATCATGTGTGTACAGCTAAAAAAAATATATACCAAAATGGAATAAAGGGGCCACCATTCACAGCCTTCGTGATCTACCAGCATCAGCTTTGAGAGCTACTGGTAGATCACAATCTACTTAATGGGCACCCCTGCTGTAGAAGAAAGCACTGTTGTGTTTTATGTCTACATACAGGCCAAGCTGTCAAACAAAAAAGTCACAGTGACAGGGGTTGGGATCAACTAGATTAGTGCCAGGGGTGTTTGAACAGTTGCAGTTTTTGTAAATGAAAAATAAAATATAAACCTTGGAAGTAAAAAAAAGGTCAATAATAAGCACCCCAAGCAGTATACTGGGTGTCCCAACCATGGTTGCTGACACTTTATCTGGAGTGCTTGTTTAGAGTTCAAAAAAATGGAAATAAATAAAGGAATTTATATACTGATGACTATAACATAATAACTACATACTTTTATCCACATACTGTATTTTTCACAAAAGTGCTACTCTATGCAACTTGAAAGTTTTACCAAACTGCCCAGCACATGATCTTGGACATGACCGTCTACAGGCCACTTTGTATGCTGGCACTGGCTGTACCGTTGTGGAGGGGCTATAGCACATATTTAGCTGAATATTTTGTCCATAGCCCACAATTCCACCACTGGACACTGCTGATTGACAATACCCTTTATACTGTAGGTGCACCGCCTCCACAACTGCGTAAATATTTAGTACTGTACCTCAAGGGAAAAGCTTGGATATATTGAGTACTTTCTTTATGATTCATTTGAAAGCTGGAGTAGAAGGAAAATGTTGCCCCGTTGATTTTTATCTACAAATCAGAACTGGTTGCCTATTTTTTCCTTTTGTACAAGTCTCTTACATAAATGGGCCCCATGTTATAGTAAGACGTCAAAGAAAATTGCTGATCGGCAGGCTTCATATGGTAGAAGAGACTGTATAAGTCTCTTCTGCCATAAAAGCTTCTTTCTACCGGTCAGCATTTTTTTTTCTCTTAGCTGCACATGCACAGCCCAGAGCATGGATCCGGCATGCCGAGCTGAAGTAACTCCTGTG